GCTTATGAGTCATTGCAAGGTGACCTAAATTGCTTGCATTCAGTATTGACACAGGAATGTGTTAGTGCAATCAGTTATCAAAACAAACACAGGAAATGGCATTGTTGAGTAAAGGTAGGTATTAATGTAATAAGTTATCAATTTAATTTAACACTAATAATTCTACAGATTGTATAATTGAACAAAAATTCAAGTCTATCTATTCTATGTTTTTTTTTTTTTATTGAAGAACGAGGTCACATGTAGAAGTGACCTGCTTTACGGCTAATTGACAAATAATGCACAGTTTATTGCAGAAGCAGCGTTACTGTGCTGAGTCCACGAAGAAGGATGACCATGCCAGATCCATGTGTTAGGCAACCACATTTATGGGACGCCAATTCTAATGCCAAAATTTTGAGAAATGTCTGCCCACATCTTTCTGTACCACTACTTGATAAAAATCAACAGGTGTCAGTCGTGGTACATATGTGTAACTGCTTTTTTAGGCTTTGACATAATAATCTATAAAAAGATGTCTCAGAGAAGCTGTACAATTTTAAAATACATTTACTGCCAAACTATTATTACTACATACTATAGATATAGTCACTACTGTACTTTACCTGACATGTTTACGTTTATGTTTTTTAATTACTTCAGATATACCAGCACTGCCTTGGCAATCTACTGTCTTACTGTGATTTACTGATTCTGGTATACGTAATATAGAATGTCTCGTGTGATATTTTACACCAATGCAGGGGTGGTTTGTGTCTCAGGACAGTTAAAAAGGGCATGTGACAGGTAGGGAAGTTCTTGGTCTTGGTTACCGTAACTGTGAAAGGTGAGCCCCGTTTACAGTAACATGACACCGTCTTACCCAGGAGGGTAACTGGGGGAGAGGAACTCCTAGGTTGTAGCGTGCTGGCATTCAGCCTATCTAACCACAGGGTGCTGTAAATGTTGAAAAGATAGGGTTTGTTCTTCACTGAGGGACTTAGATGAATTTGGCCAATTTTATATCCAGATATGTACTAGGAGAGAATATCTTGCCAACATTGTTTTTGTACTTTATATTGGCCTGCAAAGACCAGGGCTTGTCAGAGTCATCATGTTGTTTTAAACTGGGCTCCATTTGAATCCTGCATGAGATACTTGCTCTTTGTTTGTCTCACATTCAACTTATGAGGTGACGGCCTATGTGATTGTGCACTAGTTGCCATGGGTAACTTGTTTGTTTCTTGTACTTTATGTTGGTTAATGAATCATGTCCTGGTCGGCACAGCGTTCGTTTACTGTTGTTGCCACAGTGCCAGGTAAAGGCAGAGGCACAAGCTCTATGGCATTGTCAGTGTCTGACAGGTATATACCTCTTCTTGATGCTGTTGCATAGCTGCCTTTGAAACTATAGCAACAAGTAACAGGGTATTTCTTTTTCATTTTTTTACTATGTTTATCTTAACCTGCCAGGAGTTTTGCTAAGAGGCTCTGTAGTGGAAGTTTTTAATTTAAAGCTGTTGAATGCCGTAGAATAAAAGTTGCTCACTTTTGCAGAATTGTTCTTTGCTGGGTTGTTACTTCCAGTATGTGCGTCTACTTAGGTCTTGTCGAGAAACTAGAGGAGCTAGACTTAAGTAGCTTTTCGCATGAAATGTGAAAGTATCCCTAACAACATGATCTCAAAGTAATTACTCATTATAGCCATAATCTTAAAATTGGGTTTCTACTGGGAGCTAATCTGAAGTCATAGGGTATATTTTGAGCTTCTGACAATGATGTCAGCTTTCAAAAGTTAAAAGGTTTCTAAACCGGTGTATACAAGTGTAGGCATCAAATCTGAACCCTGAACCCTTGCACTGTTGGATCTCCTTTTTCTACTTTAGCTTTGTGTGGTTAATGTTTGAAAAGATCACTATTGCTTGTCTCTGATCTCTTCTTAAAAAACACCAGAGATTCCCACAGGAACAGTTGTTGCCACTGAGACAATTGTTGATATGGCAACAGGCATCCCCTGATGCTGCTGTCAGAAGGCCTTGTTGGTTTCCAAATGTCAGGTGAATTGATGTTGCAGAGGGATTCTGCACCTCTATGCAAAAATGTGAACACACATTCTCTTGTCTGTTGTCGACCTCTTATATTGAAACTTGGATCTCTCTGTATGGAACTGGTTTTGCCCCAATGTGTGCTAGTAATTCTTCACTGTGTATACATTGGTTGGCTTGAATGTAAATGAAACAACCTGTTGGATTGACTTATCAGTACACCATGTGATAGATCTCAATTGAATGCCTCACGGTAACTTTTGTTACTAATTTAATGCTATTTACGGATCAACAGGTTGAATTGTGGTTCACATTGTATATAGTTTAGTTAGGATATAGTAATAGTTTTCACGTGTGTATACCTTGTACCATATACCCCTGTTTTGCATTATTTTTGTTAAGTATTTAATTAAAAAAAAGAGGTTGCAGACGGTAACACAACTGCTTTCAGATGTGCTTTGCTGGGCTGCATTTATACTTAAAGCAAAGAGTTGGATTCCTGGTCACTGGAAGGCTGCACGTCTGATGGCTTCCACAAACTGGGTTAAAATTGTGTTGAAATGTGTGTTGAAGCTCTTTCGTTTAAATAATTTTGAATTTAAACTGGTTTAAAATTGCCCTGGATGACTGGAAATCAATTGATGTCTTTGGCAATTAACTCCTCGTCCAATAAATAAGCTTTAAATCCATAAAAAAGAAGAAAGGTGTGTGAGTGTAATTTATGTATACACCTGCTAAAACTAACCCAGCTTCCCCCCTAAAATAAATAATTTGCTGTATAGATGCTATACGTTAATGATTTCAAATGATATGTCCTGAGATATTCTAAGTCAGTTATTTTAATCAGGCATGGCAAAGACAAGTTTAAACACTTATGGAAGCACATTGACGGACACAATTTTCTTCAATGCTACCAATATTAAAGAAATGACATTTGACCTTTTTATCTAGTCCCATGAAAAAATTATAAAGGTGGATTTCACCATAATGTATTTACTAGGTGCTTTTGCAGCACAGAACTAGATTTCCCAATGTCTATTTAAATATTTGTGTTGTTATTGCATTTCCTTTAGCTCCAGGCAGGAAATATTATTCGGTGAGATACTTTCTCCAATCTCATTCCTGTTCCTTTCAGACTTGCCCAGACACAAATCAGTCCTTTCCCCCCTCTCCAACTCTAGTTGGTACTCAAGTACTATCAGAGGCCTTTGATCGTCATACTGTTTATCTGTCCATTCAGAGGCTGCAGCGCAGTGTGATAAGTAAGCTTATGAGTGTCTGTGTAGGTGGTGTTTTTCTGTTCATGGAAATGGGGACTAGCCCTGACGCAATAAATACGCCCATCGCCTTTATAGACATGTCTGCATACATGCATGTTGGCCTTGATATTATTTATATTAAATTAAAAAAATTCTTTTGCATTATTTCCAGCATGTGTTGGTAAACTATCATCTATCCTAGATAGGCAACAGGAGCCTTTTCTGTACTGCAGCATTTAGTATTCACTTAGTAAGTTTTCACCTTTCTACTTGTCATAGATAAAAAAAACAGCTTTTTGCCCTTCAATAGAATATTATAAAAATCCTTAGTCT